CCGAAGACTCTGTTGGTTTTTCCTTAAGCCTGTTACATCCCAAAAACAGAAAAAAATACTTTTTTTTACTACCGATTAGAAAATGAAAGTAGTGGAAAAATTTGGAATCGACAATTTTGTAGCTGAATACCAAAATGGAGTACGAAAGAGCTTTCTGCACACAAAGAACTCTCCATTAATGATATAACGCTCAAACATTGTGAATTTTATCCAGACATACAAAGTTGTTTAAAAATTATTTATGGCTCTTCCACCAACGATAGAGTTTATCGAAAGAACGTTTAGCATGCTAAGGCATGTTAGAACATGGCTGCGGTCTATTCGATCAGTGCGAAGTCATGGTAGGGGAAGCAAAAGCGATACTAGCGCAAGCTGCGGATAATTCGAGTACTTGAGGGCGATATTTTGTAATTTTAGCACATCAAATACACGTAATTTTACTTTTTATTAAAAAAATAGGTGAAGAACAATAAAATGAGCAACCGGAGTTGCTATGTTGCAAATTATATTAGCAAAAAAACTAAATTATATAAATTTTCAGTAGCAAAATCGAAATTAAATCAAAGAAATAAATGGACAGCTGTATAATAAGAAGAAGAAGAAAAAAAAAACATTTATTTTTGTAATAATAATAGTAATACTGGAAATAATAGACATCAGAACAGGTTTTAAATAAACAATAAATTATTATTTTATGATATTCTTCAACGTCTCTTAAATCTTAAATGTTTAGTTGATGATTAGATTTCTGCCTTTGATTATTGTATATGGCTGAAATGCAATCTTGTGACTTATTGATAGGAAACCAGTTTTAATCATTAATTTCTATGGGTTCTTTCGAACTAAAAATGAAAAAAATATAAATTACAATCACAAATATACCAATTATTTTTGTTAATACGTTTTAATTCTACGTTATTATATAATAGTAATGTTTTTATTTTGACATTATTTAACCTATTCTTCAATGAAAACTTATTAGGCTTAGGCAAGATCTCATACATTTTCTCGTAAATACCTGCCTGTTTTGTTATTGATTTTTATTGATTATACTACTTTTTTTTAGCTGAGGTAATAAAAATATATATTAATAATTTTTTCACTTGTTTTACAAATCCATATACTTTTATTAAAATTAACATATATATTTTTTAATTATGAACTCTATTAAAAATTGTATTGTCAGTATACGCAAATATCGTCCGTTAGTTCATAAAATAGTTAGCGCTGCTGTCACGCATGGAGCGAATAATGAATGAAAATAGGCTGACTGAAAAAAAAATTATGTTTTCTGTTATCGATGTTTTTAGTAGAGAAAAAATGTTCATCGTCGTGTTTTAGTGAATTTTTTTGTTTTTGTTTTTTTTATAAATTTTTATTTCTTATATTATTATGTATGGCTGTGTCTTCTTGTTCATATTTTTCTTGTTTTTTTCTTTATTTTAGTTTTGTCTTTTTTGTTGGGTTATTTTATTTATTAGAGACTTGTTATGACAACTTAAGTATCAGGTCTGTCAAATAGGTCACTGACATTGTTAGGGTTACTACTAAAGTTCCACTCCCCTTATCTTCGCTATTCAGTGAGATATCGGAATAATTTTGTTCCGTTTGAAAGACTAATGATGGATTCAATTGTTCTGTTACGTCATGGCTTACTTCCGGTTTTTCTGGAAATAACAGAAAATCGGATTTTTTAATTTTAAAAGGAAACCCTTTTTTTATTGTAAATTTAAATTTCTGGGACATTTTTGTATAATAATTGTGTATTGACAATTTTTTGTCAGCTATCAAAATAGCCGCCATATTGGTAGTCCAATTAAATAACGAAAAAAAGCCCCTTCGAGCTTACATTAATTTGTAATTGGATGAAACAAAAAGGACCTTGTGTATTTTGATGTGCGAAAAAAAGAAAAAAAAGATGTAGCAGTTTTTCAATTTTTTTTAAATTAGGAAAAACCGGGTTTTCCGGAATTTTCCATTGTAAAAATGCTAATTATCTGGGCAAGTATCATTCCGATAGTCAAAATAAATGCACCATTCGAAAGAGGGAGGCAAAAATAGTTCGGAAATTCATTGCACAGGTAGTTTTAATGGCGAATTTCTCGCCGCCAGAAGTGCTTTTACCAAAAAGTCGTTTTTTCGTTTTTTTGATCAGAACCATGAACATGAAATTTGCGATGAATTTGTGGCGAAATTATAAATGTTAGACATATGTGCCCATGAGAGAAGTTGCGTATTTTTTTGTTGGCTCTCAAATAAAATAAGTCCCGCGGCGAAATCTGACATAATTTTTCGGGAATTCGCAGGAAACCAGAGGTGTAGTTTTTTTTTTAATTTTTTTCCCATGTGATTTTTTCCGGGTTTTCCGAAAACATCTAACAAAATTAATATATTTGAAAAAACTAACTTCGCCATCGAAAAGAGCACAAAAAAATACACAAAAAGGTATACTTTAAAAATGTTAGGAAATTAATCCTAAGCCTGAGTGTAAGTTCCAACTTGGTGATAAGCTTGCTTTTTGTTCGCTAATATCTGGTAATTCAATATTTTGCACAAAACTCAAGAAACGTCTTATAACAAGTCAGTAAAATACAATTACATAAATTTTAAGCCTAATGTAGTGTATACACGAGTTTTGGATCCCGCGGAGCGCGTGTAATGGGACTTTTGTCGGGAGAATTCTACAACTTAGAAGAAACATACACACTTTAAACTTTGTATACACATTTAGAAGACATGAAATTTGGGTTTGTTTAATTTTCAGACAAAAAAACTAAAAATTGTCAATTTTAGGCAACTTTTCTCAAAAACCGTGTTTTTGGTCGTCACTCAATGAACAGTGGTCAAAAAAATAGATAAAATATATTTGCAGACTTTTCCGTAATGTAATCGTATTCTAGACACAATAGAGTACTCAACAAAAAGTTTTGAGCCATTAGGTGCATTTTTGGCATTTTTGTGCCACTTCAAACTTTCGAAAAAAAAAATTATTTTTTTTTTTGGAAAAATAAAATTATTTAATTGTTTGATATCTTAACCAATTATGGTCCGATGTCGGTGAAATTCACACACACATAAGATTTCACATTTAAGAGTAAGCTTTGTAAGTGGCATTAAAACAATTCAAATAGTTTGGCCGTTATAGGCAAACAATGAAATTAGGAACGCGGTGCATTTTGCCCTTCCGCCATATGCCCAATTTTGGGATTTCTCTTGCCCCCTTCTGGGAATCACTAGTCACATCCCTTAAGTTCAAAACGCATTTTTGTTTTTTCAAATATCTTAATTTTTACCAATGTTATAAAGAATTTAGTGTTTGAACATTTAACAAATTCAATTTTTCGACCTTCGTCGCCTCAAAATACTAAACAAATTTCAATAGTCCATACCGCGAGAACGGTGCATCGGATCAAAATTTCTCACGAGACATAAAAATTAGCATTTTTCCTAAGCTTTTAAATGTCGTAAACTGCGTTTTAAAAATATTGATTTATTTCCGACATGCGCCTGCGCAAAATTGAAAAATTGACAAAATCCAAAATTTCGGCACTTTCGAAAAACTGCTACATTTTGTTTTGCCTTTTTTCGAAAAGATCACCTCAAAATACATAGAATCCATTTTGTTTCATCTAATTACAATTTAATGTAAGCTCAAAACCCGTAATTTAATTAGATTATGGATATTTTTTCTAAATATGTTACTATTAATTCGTTTATGGAAAAACATATAGGAATGTACGAACTTTATAAAATCTCTTTAGGCTTCAAAAATCCCATTGAGACCAATTTACCGTATACCAGTGGCGTATCTAAGTATTTGTATTATTAGCAAACCGTTTAATAATTCCATCCGCTTTTATCTTCGTTGTTAATTGAGATATTGGAATGAAAACTTATTTGTTTAAAAGCTTGGGACAAGTACTCTCATATACTGGATTCAACTGGTGTGTGACTTCATGGCATACTTCTGTTTTATCGGAAATAACAGAAAATCTCAATTTATTTTTAATTTTTAAATAGAAACCTCCGTTTTTATTGAAAATTTGAATTATAGGGACATCTATGGATAAGAATCATGTGTTGAAAATTTTCTGTCAGCTGTCAAAATGACCATCATATTGGAAAATATTGTTTTTAATATATTACTGACAGAAAATTTTCAATACACGCTTCTTATACAAAAATGTCCCAGAAATTCAAATTTTTAATAAGAAAAAGGGTTTTCATTTAAAAAATAAATTGCGATTTTCTGTTATTTCTAGAAAAACCGGAAGTAAGCCATGACGTCACAGAATAATTAAATCCATCATACGAAAATTCTCTTTTAGTTTTCATTTTCTTTGTTTTCCAACAAATAAACATTTTAAATTTATTCAAAATTTTGCCCCTCCCTATAGAATTGGGTAACGACGCCCATGTGGTATACTTTAATTTAATATTGTTTTATAATATTTCATTAACGAAAACTGCTCTACTTTCTGGTTAGAATAACGTGGAAAAATTTTTTAAAATTTGGCTCATTAATACGAGGGGATGACTATAATTTCGAGTTAAGAATATTATTAAGACAGAAGTTTTCTGTCATTTGAATATTCATGTAGGTACTTATCTGATAAAAAAAAATGTTTTTATCGGAAATAGAACCCGAGTCACGAAATCCAAAATTGAGGGCCGTGAAGATTTATGTCAAGTTCTTACACCAACAAAAATTAATAGAAACGAAAACAAACTAGATTTAATAATAGAAATGATGAAAGATTTAAAATCGGACTCCAAGAAAATAAAAAAAGAGCAGGAGGAATGTCGAGAAGAAATAAAAAAGATAAGAGAAGAGAGCAGAGAACTAGAAAATGATAACTTAAAATGAAAAAGTGAGAATAAAGATATAATTCAAAAATTAGCAAAAATAAACAGGAAAGTTGAATGGTTAGAAAGGAAAAAAAAAAAAGAAAAATGATATAGTAGTAATAGGACTGGAAATTACTACAGATGACCCAAAAATGCTCAAAGATGCCATGGAAAATATGCTAGAAAAGGAAATAGAAGTAATAACACAAGTTAAGACTGCCAAAAAACTTGGAGAAAAAACATACCTAGTCGAATTTGAGAAAATAGAAGATACAGATCAAGTAAATAAACCGAAGAATAATAAAAAAGATAAGATTTTCATTAATGAAGACAAAACAAAAATGGAAAGAGAAAAGGAAAAACAAATAAGAAAGACTGCGAAAGAAGAACAGGATAAAGGAAAAATTGCTAAGATAGGGTACAACAAAGTTACAATAGATGGGAGAGAATGGAAGTGGAATTATACCACTGGAGAATTAGACTTTGATAAATCAAAAAACTAGAACTGAAAAATAAAAATGGATTAAAAACGGCAACGGATAAGGCTATGAAAGCGATAATGGTGAAGAGGCAGAAGAAATAGAAGAAAGAATGACTAAAGGAATAAAATGTACAGTAGGAATGCTTCATCTATAAAACAATAGTCAGGCCAGTAGTCACTTACAAAAGCGAGGTATGGAAATTAAACAAAAAAGAAAAAACTAATCGGAAATATTCGAGCGAAAAGTACTTATACGTATATGGCGGAAAGAAAGTAGATAATGTATGGCAAAGAAGAACAAACGTTGAAATAAATGAATTATACGGAGAACCCTCTATAACAAATGTAACCAAGGCACAGCGAATAAGGAGGCTAGGACATGTAGCGAGACTAGCAGATGAAAGACCAACAAAGCAAGTATTAACAGGAGGATTAACCGGGAGGAGAATTAGGGGACGACCACGGACTAAATGGTTACAGATGGTAGAAAGAGACCTAAACGAGATGAGGATAAGGGATTGACGTAGAAGAACAGGAAACAAAAAAGAATGGAGGAAAATAGGCTCCGAAGCCATTGGCCTTCTAGGCCCGAAGTGCTGAAATATATATAATACAATGACATTAGAAATTATTTATAACGTGCTCTTTAAGACATCGTCATCGAGCGCTCCACCGCTAACGCATCTGCAGCAAAGTATTTACATCTTTTTAAGGAACGAATGAAAGATAATTTCGCAAGTGGTTTCATAAATAGCTATTGAATTGCACCTTTAAGATGAAATAAAATAGTCATTTTAAACGATTGGAGATGAAATAAATAATAAATTTATTAATTTTCAATATAAGATAACCTAAGTTAGACCTTTATCTATAATTTGGCCAAAAATTAGATTTTGAAAAATACTATATATTCGGAAATCAGTCGATTTTACTTTTGGTATACACATATCTACGGTTTTTATAAAAGCAGGAATATGATTTCTTACAAACATTGAATTAGAAAAATTGTAAGAGATCTGCAACAATGTAAAAGACCAGACTCGGCACATATTATAGTGGTTATAAACATTGTCCAGCAAGAAATATAATAAAAACAGCTTTCGGTACAATTTCTTATCTAATTTAGTGAATAATCTCCTTCATCCTGTGTCGCGTTCTACAAAATCACCGGATGCTGAAAAATCTAAACACAGTTTTATTTGTTACAAACACAACAGAGAATATCGGTCTTATCGTCAAATACAAAACCTAAATTTAGAAAATATATCTCAATTGCAATAAAAAAATAATAATAAGAAGCATTCAAAAATTAAATATTTTTTAGTATAATATGACATAGGTACATCTTTCTTTAGCTTCTGAAAACAAGATGACCAATACTTGCGGTGATATCCAGAGGCAAGAGTTGACAATAAATAAACCTGGCTACCCTGGTCACGATCTTAAAGGTAGAAAGATCGCTATAGGATTGGAAACGAGAGAGTTGATTAATTTTCTCCTCGCAGGACTATAAAGAAGAAATGAAACGAAGGACGGTATTTTCAAGTATGTAAATGTTTTATGTAAAATCGTCAAGCGCTTTCGGATAATACGCCATCATATAGGTCTGGACCTCGTAGTGTTCCGATGATGGCTTATTAGCCGAAAGCACTTTTAATAAAACATTTACACTCTTGAAAATACCTTCGTTTATTCCATTTCATCAACTATCAGTGTGTACACACCTACAACCTTTGATTAGGACTATACAGATCTATTCGTATAGCCAGGCAGCCCTTAAGACCGTAAGCTCCAACCGAGTTGACTCAGAGCTGATTTGGAACTGTATAAGGATAATTTCCTGACCGTAGCAGAATTTTATATAAAATTTTATATAAATAAACAGTTCACTGGTTTATTCGGTCAATAGTTTTTTTTTTAATTTAAACACTGTTCCATCTTTTGGTGCCAGTCAATATTTAATAAAATATGGAGACGATTACAAACATTTAATTTTTTTTTTAAATAACAGAAAACCCAAATTTCTGTTTTACAACGTGTGAAGTTGTATTCGAAAAAATGTATATCTTAAATATCTCAGTCCTCGGAAAAAAGTTACTTTTATCTAGGTTCTGGGACATTGAGGTGTGGGGGGGCAACGAAAAAGCCGACGCACTAACTCGCTAAAAGAGGGACCGAATCTGAGTTGATAGGACCAGAATCAAAGCACTATCAAAGGGATTATCTCAACATGGACAGAGAATGTAACTCATCAACTGAAGAAATACCTCAGGGCTAATTTTTTTGCAGGCATTTATACCCAACCCTTCCATGAACGCCTTTGCTCAGATACGGGACTGATGACAGAACATCAGAAGTATAGGCCTGCAACAAACGCCGGACCGTTGATTCTGCAGTGTAGATAACGAATACGCAAAGCACATTTTAAGTAACTTCTCCACTTTGGAAAGAACAAGGTTCCAAATCCTTGGATGCAGCCCAGTCAACTCAACCATGGCGTTCATCAAGAGATGTGGCTTGTAAGGTGAACTATAAGCCAAAATAGAATTATCTGGATCGCATTAGAATACTCATTTTTAATCTAACCTTTTGCGAAGACGGCAATAGTAGCTTTCGCGGTAATGGTCTATAGCAGCCCATGTAAATTATAAGATCACTTATGTTAGTACAAGGTGACATGTTAATATAAAAGATCTATTGTATTCATTCTCCTCATTACGGAACCTGGATTCAAGTTTGCTAAAGTGTCCTTTGAGTAGACAATGCTCTAAAATGATTTTTGTTACTAGGCGTAGCTTGTTCTTGCTCAGACAGATACAGACTCACGATCTTTCTTGATTATGTCGCCCAGAAGTATTATCCTCTCTTAAATCCCCAAGAGGGGGTATGTATTAATGGATCGTTGGACTTATATATCTGCATTAGTACATGGAAACACAAAGTCAATATAAAAGAAAACCGCATAGGATTCATGGATAGAACTAGGCTTAATTAGGCTAAAGAAGTCAAAATGATGATAAATAAAGTTAGTAGTTAAAGGAAGTAGTTAAGGTAATAGTTAAAGGTAGTATAGTAGAACCTAGTTAAAATGGCAAATGGATTCAGAATATATTTATTTATAAGAAAATATAACAGTTTAGTAGAAGATTATAAAAGAGAATGAAGAACAATGGGATATATATGTATAGTATATATAGGGTGCAACAAGACAGTTCATAAATTCAGATATTCTTTATTTAATAAGAGGTTGGTTAGACCTAACTTACCTTTATATGAAAGTGCTTACAAAAAAGTTATAGCCTTTTAAAGTTATAAATTGAAAATAATTTTTTGCCGATAACTCGAAAGTTAAACAAGTTTTCATGAAAATGGACATGTCGTGTTCTTAAAGTAAAAGCAATTGTACAAGAAAACATTACGAAAACAGTGCACCTCATAAACATTGTAGGGGGATTTTCAGTGGCAGGTCTACGATTTGTGAGGCCCTTACTTTTTTGGTATTTTCTTTTTACCTACTTTCTTAATACTCATAACTAATACTTAATATACAAGGTGGTTCAGTTTATATAGTTAGGATTTTAGCTGATAGTTTATAAAGATAAATAAAGATACTTTGTCAAATAAACTATGATCTAATTTTGCTTTATTTTTGATGTTAAAGGTTCAGGTATTCAGAGAAGCAAAAAATATTGTAAAAAATATTTCTTTTTTACATTAATAATATAATAATAATAATAAAACAAATATATTTAAACGCAGTGCTGTAGAGTTGCAGAACTGCCAAAAAATATTTCATCTACATTTCACAGAAATTGTTTCAAACATTCTAAAATATACGTAAAATAAATTTTATGGATTACGTAATTAATTTTAATTATTAAATAGCATCCATAGCGCGCAAACGTATCTTACTAAAAGTTCATAGCTGAGAATAAGCTATAGCGGTCCAGTGCAAGATTTAAAGAAAGCTTGCCAGGTCATATTAACTCTTATCTGGGTCGCTTCGGGACGGTCTGAGCACCGCTTGGTTCGCTTGCACTCATAGTCTCACCTCCCCGCGGCTCTCTAAAAAGTAACGCCAAGACACGTAGTGTTTGTGCTGCATTTTTGTCAGATCGGCGAGCTTTGTTTATAGTCTGTCGCATATGTGATGTGATTCGAGTTCGGTTTTGTAGATTATCAGGTTGTGTTAATTCGCCAGCGCGCATTTCGATTGTACATGAAAGACATGGATGTAGTTTTTTTAAATGTAAGAGAATAAGTTTGCTGCTAAAAAGGACTACAGAATAGAATTAATGTATAAAAGTTAGGTGAATAGCTGTAATAGTAGTTTGTACAACAAGAGTGAATATGATGGCCATATCGCACGAAGACGAAATTTGAGCACAGGTGCTCAATCGTCGAGTGTGATGTGGACAATCGAGTTGTACAGTATATTTTTTCTAACGAACATTTAGAAATAAAAATATATTTTAGGTCATTAAAACAAAATAACTAATTTTAAAATAATTTATGACTTTTAATAATTTTTAATATAAAATAAACGAAGAAAAAATCAATTTAAAAGTCCCCAGCCGAGGCTCAAACTTGGATTTCTCGCGTGGAAGTCAGATACTCTTACCATCCCCCGGTATATTTGGAATTTTTTTTATTACTCGTAATTTATTGACCTCATAGAGTTTTATTAAAATTAACAAATTATTTATAATTATAAAATAAATAAAAATAGAAATGCTATTTATTTATCGATTCTACACAAAAATAAGTCATTTTAATGTATATTTAAATCAATAACTAAAAAAATGTACTGACAATTAGTTTGACAGAATTGTCACTTATTTAAAATTTTAAAAATAATAGTCGTCGGGTGACCAAAATATGAACTTCGATTGGTGGATTTAATTTTTTGCAGTGTTCTCACTACATCGAATGAATATAAAATATATTCGTTCAGTTAATGGCATTAGTATACTTTTTCGTTTTGTAGTCTGTGCGTAGATAAGCAATATCCATGTGGGTGTAGAAAAAATAATAGTTTCTTCTTGTGGATGGGAGGAGAGAGAATCTTGCAGAAAACCCAATGTATGTAATCACAAGCCGCCACTACTTTAATGTTTATTTTGTATTTTATAACCCGTATCCATGATTTCCTCAATGTAATTTATATACTTCAACATTTTTATAATCGTAAGAAGTTATATAAAGCTTTTAAATTTGTTCCTTAATAAAGTTTCTCTAATAAAATATTTTTTATACTTTTTATAAATTACAGAAAATGCATTCTAATACTGTCTAAATAAAATTTCAGTTATGACAATATTTTCCTAGGGACTGTAGAAAACATTAAAAGTTAAAAGTATTTTTTTTATTAATTTTTAAATAAATGTTGAATACAACCCGAATTTTGATCCCAGGCCCGGAAATCCATGAAAAAACCGTCAGCAATAAGTGGTATGTATTAAAAATTCATCGGGGTCTCCAAAATAAGATTCGTGTGACGTATACAAATAAGCGTTGGTGTTACACTTTGTGTAGGCTTTTTACAGCTCCCGAGTCATTATCTGAATATAAAGGTATAAATAAATACAACGATATTATGTAATTTCCGACCGAAAAAGGTGATATTAGGAATAGGTAATAATTACGTTATGAGTACGTTGGCGTAAAACCAAGCATTACCAACATGTGTGTGCCTTTGTAATTTGCAACTTAGTATTAGCGTTCATTTGTTTTTCCTTGTAGAGTACTAGAAACATTTTGGAAATTAATGTAACTCATAATTGAGTTGTTTATATAATGAGTTATGTAAAACTACTTACACATTTTCGTCTTTATTTTTTTTATACATTTTGTTGTATTAATTTAAAACTGGATTAATATTAAAAGCATCTTTAACTTCAACTTAGTTATTCTTCTCCTAAATATACCAACAAAACCAGTTTGTCTGATATGCTGGAAACATCACAAAAAAAACTTGTAACTACGTGATAAGCTGGTTAAAAGCACCTCTTGTTATGAATAATTTTAGCATTTTGACTTCAATCTCTTCACTATGAATTATTCTTGATATCCTTAATACTTTATCTCTTAAAGCCCGTATTAACAAATTTTTGAATTCGGGACATAGTACTTAAGTGTAGTTTTAGTCATGAACGGTTAAATTATAAATAGTTAGTTTACTGCAAACAAACATATCATGTTCAAGGGAGGTCTGTTCTTTTAGGCTTGGTTTTTTACTTTCTCTCAATATGAATACGAAAATCTTTGCGATATTTGTAAATTTATATCTTTTAAAATATTGGAAATAACTCACCACTAGCTTGCGACCCAGAAAACCACATAGCGACCAACTCATCAACACTAGCCGACGTTGATGCAGACGTGGCTGGTCCAGGTATAGTCTGATATCCTCCATAATAGTATCCTGAACCTGCCACTTCACCTGCTCTAACTTGTGGCACGTGAAGAGATGATGATGAAGCCTGAGCAGCATGTGCGGCTTGTTCACGCCTGGTTTCATTCAAGAGTAACTGTTGGACCTGCAATATATCCACAAATTCTTCACTGGTAGTGGTAACCGGCACTTTATTAGTTCTATCTTCCCTGCGCATTGTTAGCGTTAACATTTTGGAATAGTACTAGGCAAACGAAGAGATCGTTTGCCATACCGCACATACGCTAACACAAAGATCTCTCCTCCTATCGGTCGAACCTAAAATAAAAATATATATTTTTTATTAAATTTTTAACGATAATTTTTATAATGGATAATTTCTAACCACGACTAGAGCCCATTTTATTAAAGAAGAGTACAGAGGCGTTATAGATGATGATAGTCGCTAAAACCAAATTTTGAATTGATAATAATCCGTAGACGTTTGGCGATGAAAGTTATAAAAAGGTTAGTCTTAATTGTCTTTGAAGTTTGGTTGGAAGAGTTTATTTTTAGAATTTTCACGATTTTTGAGTATTTTAAGACGTTAATTTGTTTATAAGTTAGTATTGGGTGTTTTAAACAGTGACATTCTAAAGTAACGGCGCGGCGTCTATTTTAAGTTTTTTTCTATATGATTTTACAGAGTAAAATTCGGTTAAAAAAACTATATTTTACTTATAATTTTTTTTTATTACAAGTATCAAAAAACAAGTAACTGTCTACAATAAATTATAACAACTATGTACTAACTATAAAATGTATGAATAGGTTATTTATTACACAAATTTAGATTCGTAAAGGAGAAAGGGAAACACAAAGTTTTTACTATAGTAAAAAATAATTATGTAGGACGTAGGGTAACTCGTTTTGGCTAATGGCCATCATCAAGCCTATAAGTAAAATATTACAAAGCAATAGATATGGAATGAACAATGAACAACGCAAGTAGTAATACAGGTTCAAAAGGAAGAGAACACTAGAAATTCCCAATAACTTTCTTTAGTCAAAACGCAAATATGTTTTATGTAGATTGTATGGTAACACTCCATGTGCCAGTGTGACGGCCTGAGTAGATTGATGTTTCTAACGCCTCTTTTACAAGTGCTGGATACCGCATATACGACGCCTGATCTCCGGCATCAAAGTACTGTAATGAAAACACCCTGTGTTCAAATACAATAATCATAATAATAATAATAATAATAATAATAATAATAATAACACTAATAATAATAAGCAAACTAATAATAATTAACATACTAACAATAATAACAACCATATTAATAATAATAATAACAGTAAGAAATAAAAATAATTTCGGAAAATATTATAACCCTGTATATGAAAAATTTGATATGAAAGTCTTAAGTGTAAGATACGATGGGTAGTAGGTAGAAAGGATGGTTTCGATGGGATGAAGATTGTCAATTTTGAAATTTAATAAAAAAAACATATCAGAAATTTGGGAGGTAGAAATTTATTATTTTTAAAAGATATGGTCAAAAAAGAATTGAAAAACTGATAATGTAACACATTCAGAATAAACAAATTTATCTAACCAGAGGAATATAATTAAAAGTATAAGAAAACATTGGTAATTACGTTCCGGCGAGACACACATAAAAAACCAACAGAGGAGAAATAAAGCGAAAACCGTAATGGAAATAAACAATTTCAATAAGAACTGTGAGTAATTTTGTATAAACTGATTACTATAAATAATTTGTGCGAGAAAAGTCAGTGATAGTAAATATTTTTTTTTGTAGAATTTAATTTTAGTAAATAGTTTAGGTAGTATGAATGAAGAGCGAGTGTATTTAGAGTAGTTTTAGTAATATAGTAATATAACCCCATGAATGTAAACAACGGGGCATTTTGTTAATTGTAGGTTTGATACTGTGTTTAAAAATAAAACTTGTATTTTTGGTTTTGAAAATTTGTTTATTTTATTTAAAAATACAGGGTATAAAACAAGTTAAGTTATATATATTTTAAATTTTTTGTTGATTATTGATTAAAATAAAATTAAAATTAAATTATAATAACATTAAAATAGAATTAAAAAAAAATACAATTGAAATAAAATTGAATAAAATTAAAATAAAATAAAATTAAATTGAAAAAGTAATAATAATATAATTGGAAGCACCCCTGAGATAGAAATAATGATTTAAAAAAAAAATTAAAAAAACATACTTTAATTAAATTAAAAAATAAAATTGGTATATGTGTAATATCATTACAGTACTTACAGAACATCGACAAGTTCACACATACACGGTTTTTGTCTGTATTTTATAGACACCGGACAACATTTCGACATTTATCCGGTGCCAGACAACGGATATACGGCGTTTAGTACATCTTAATCTATGTAAACCATATGCATCGTTCACAAGTGTATAGATGAAAGTCGCTTAGTTACTTTTGAAACGTGGTGCAGCAGTAAACATGACACGTGTGGATATAAAAATCGATATCCATAGTAAAAGTATACTGGCAACTCGACCTTAGATTCAACAGTATGTCGGATACGTCTGAACACAACAACATTGCCGGATATCAGGCATCGTATATCCGGCATCAAAATACCTACAGAACATTGGCGCGTTCACATATACACGATTTTTGTCTATACTGGATATCATGCATCGTATATCTGGTAACCGGCAAGTGTGAAAGGAGCGTTACAGTAGGCAAAGAAAAGGCAGACGCATGGAACTACATACAGGAACCAATGTCAAAGCTACTAAATAATAAAGACCAAGATAGACGAATAACGGACTCCCACAGTAGATCTGAAAATGCCAACTTCTTTCAAATTTAATCTAATTTAACATTTCATTGATCATCAGTGGCAATGTCTTGTACTGCTTACTAGAGAGCTTTTTGGATAATGACTTCAATATGACCCAAGCGTGAAAATCAGTCCAAAGTGATTTGTATGGAGAAATTCTTTTATCGGAAACTGTCAGGCGAGCCCAAGAAAAAAAACCTTTTGTTACTTTGAAGATGGAGTTTGAATTATCAAAATAAAGTAAAAGACAGGAATCATAACTAGAGTGATGTAAAATATATAAAAATAACACTTTTTTGAGTCTGCTACGTTGGCGTGAATAATTATTTTAGTTATTTACCGTTGATTTAAATATTTTACCATGAGTTTTTCGGTTCCCTAAAGAATTGATATATTAACATTAGTTGAAGTTGATGATAAAACATTAACATATAAGGAAGTATGTAGAATTTTTGTTAATAAGTATTCTGACCGTCATACTTCTCAGTTTATAGTGAGTAGTATAGATTGATTAACGTGATAAATTGAATAACCCGCACATTCTACTAGACATGACCATGTTGGATTATTTTTTATGGGATTATCTACAATATCTGCTACAATACGACCTTTAAACGAGCATATTCATCCCAAACTCTAAGGTGGGCAAGCTCCCCTTGATCTTCTTTCCCCTTGATCACAGGAATTCTGACTGGACATTGCCAACTACAGAAGCATTTTCATATCATGGCGCTGTCAGAATCTGCACTCTACAGGGGTTCGAACAAGAAGATAAGTCCATCGAGCATATCCTCTACGATTGCCCGCCGCTCTCATTTATTAGAAGATTTGTGTTCGGCGAGAATTGGCTAACACTGGCCGATATAAGAAAAGCATCTCTTGGCGACGTTGTCAACTACATCAAATCTGTGCAGTGAGTAGGTACACATAAATTTTTGAAATATAAGTAAGAAATGTTAGTAGTGTTCAACTAAAATTTAAAATTTACATAGCACTGCTTGATTTATCATCAGCTTATCACAATCTAAATGTCATTTTTTTTTATATGGATAATTTGTCACTTTTTGTCGTAAATTCGTCAGGGGAAAAAATTTGGCACTCATTTCTTTTTTGCAATAACCCCAGTTAATTATAAAATAACCTCTAGTAGTGCTCGTGGCAAGCAAGTCATACTTTTTGCAACTATGATGTTTGCAGGCAATGAAATGAATAAAATGTATAGAAATGAAAGATTTCAACACCATACTTTCTCTACGGCTCTATTATCTACAATTAATTAGTATTAAAGGTTAGATACAGTTGATTAATTTTCTCCCCGCAAACAAGACTATAAAGATCTTTTCAGATAGCCAGGCAGCTCTTAAGGCCCTGAGCTTCAATCGAGTTGACTCAAAGCTGGTTTGGAACTGTTATAAATAACCTAGAGTGCCTCGGTGCCCGGAACAAAGTTACTTTGATCTGGGTTCCGGGACACAGGGGTGTGGAGGGCAACGAAAAAGCCGACACACTTGCTAAAAGAGGAACCGAATCTGTGTTTATAGGACCAGAACCATTCCTAGGCATTGCAAAAAGCACTGCCAAAGGAATTATCTCATAATGGACGGAGGGTGCAATACTCACGAACTGGAGAGATACCCCAGGGCTAACCCATTCGAAGGCATTTATAACCAACCCTTCTATGAACTCCTCTGCTCAGATCCGAGAATGGAGTAGGAAAGATCTACGCATTTTCACTGGACTGATGACAGGACACTACCGTCTGGGCAACTATATGAAAAGGATAGATCAGCAACAAACATCGGCAGCGTGGAGGACGAGTCTATAGAGCACATTTTATGTACCTGCTCCGCTCTGGAAAGAACCAGGTTCCAGATATTCGGATTTACCCGACTGGAGCCTACTGACTTTAAAGAAGTCTCACCCAATTCAACCATGACCTTTTTCAAAAGGTGTGGCTTGTACGGTGAACTATAAGTTAGTCATGAGCCACAATAGACCCATCTGGGTCGCAGTGGAAGGCGATGAGATCATCCCACTCATTTTCAACCTAACCTAACCTAGATACAGTTACCAGTTAGTAAAATAATATTTGATTTCCGTAGTCATTTATACTACGTTATACAGGGTGTTGCGCATAAGTACCGACACGGAACAGGCATGAAATTAATAAAATTACCCCCAGAAAACATACCCCACAAAACTTTTTACAAGAATTTCAACGTCTATTTTAACCATACAAATACGCCACCGAATTTACAGTATGGCGTTGACTATGACGACACATTCACGCAAACCGATGTAAGGTAGCTGTAGGTACTTTTCTCTAATCGACTCTACCTATTCCTTAAAAAAATTAATTAAGTTATTGAATAGTATTTACTTATTTACAAATA